TTGAAAAGACTTTGCCTGTGTCCCAATATGTGGTGTATCTTTGAAAATTTCCTGTGTGCACTTGAGAGGAATGTATATTCTGTAGCTTTGGGTGTCAATTAAATCCATCTGATCTAGTGAGTCATTTAGGATTGCTGTTTCTTTGCTGATTTTTTGTTTAGAGGATTTATCCAGTGGTGTCAATGGCGTATTAGAGTTCCCCTCTATGATTATATTGCTGTTGATCTCTCCCTGGATATCTTTCAGAAGTTTTTTTTTAAAAATGTATTTGGGTGGTTCTGTATTGGGTGCATATATGTTTACCAGAGTTATATCCTCTTGTTGTATGGATCCCTTTAGTAGTATGAAGTGGCCCTCCTTATCTCTTATTGTGGCCTTTACTTTGAGGTCTATTTTATCAGATATAAGTATTGTTACCCCAGCTTTGTTTTCATTTCCATTTGCCTAAATTTTTTCCCCCATCCCTTCACTATCAGTCTGTGTGAGTCCTTTATTCTGAGGTGGGTCTCTTGTAGGCAGCAAATATATGGGTCATGTTTTCTTATCCATTCAGCTACCCTATGTCTTTTAATTGGAGCATTTAATCCATTTATGTTTAAGGTTATTATTGATAGGTACTTATTTGTTGCCATTTTTATTCTTTATGCCTGTGTTCCTTCTTCCCTTTCTATTTCTTCTTTTTACAGCAGTCCTTTGCTTTGCATCACTTTGTATATTTCATTTCATTCCCTTCTGGCCTGGTGTGTTTCTGTTGAGAAATCAGTTGATAATATAATGGGAGATCCCTTGTAGGTAACTTTCTGTCTCTCTCTGGCAACCTTTAAGATTCTTACTTTGTCATTGATGTTTGCTAATTTAATTATAATGTGTCTTGATGTAGGTCTTTTGGGGTTCATCTTGGTTGGGACTCTGTGTGCTTCTTAGAATTGTGTGATTTTTTTTTCTTCCCAACATCAGGGAAGTTTTCTGTCATTATTTCTTCAAACAGGTTTTCTATTCCTTGCTCAGCTTTCTCTCCTTCTGGCACCCCTATTATGCGGATGTTGTTTCCGTTAATGTTGTCCCAAATCTCCCTTAGGCTCTCCTCCTGCTTTTTAATTTTTCTTTCCAGTTCCTGCTTTGTTTGGGTGTTTTTTCTACCTTGTTTTCTAACTTGTTAATTGGTTCCTCAGCTTCTTATAGTCTACTGTTGAAACTTTCCATTGTGTTCTTTATTGCACCTATGTCATTCTTCATTTCCTCTTGATTCTTCTTCATTTCCTCTTGATTCTTACATGTTGTTAATTTCTATTTCATCCTTTTCAGCATTCTTATAACCATTGTTCTGAATTCTTTCTCTGACAAATTGCTTGACTCCATTTTGTTTATTTCCTTTTCTGGTGATTTCTCCTTTTCTTTCATATGGGGATTCTTTCTTTGTCTCCCCATTTTTGCTGTTCCTTTGTTATTGTTTCTATGTATTAGATCAAACTGCTATGCCACCCAGATTTTTTGAGTTTTTCTTATATAGTAGAAGCTTTGTGGGACCCCAAATTACAATCTCTCAGGTCTTCTAGGCTGGGTTTTCTAGGGATTCCCCCTACTTGGGATATTTGAGTTCTCTTGGTATAGTTGGGTCTTGAGTGATATTGTCCTGTTCGTGGATGGAATCTCCTCTTAGGGCATCTGGTTATGCGGCTGGTTCTCTACCATGTTGACTGAACAGTACAAAATACAACTCGACAAGATACAACACAAAGGGAAGAAAACACGAGTGTACTCATGACACTGATAACCCCAATAAAAGTGACCACCAGAGAAAAGAGAATTAGGAGAGAGAAAAGAAAGCAAAAATGATATTGAGAAAAGGAAAAAAGTAAGAGAGAAAAGAAAATGAATAAAAAATATATGGGGAGAAAACACCACAAAAACAAACAAATAAACCAAAAAATGCAAACAGCAAACACTCAGAAAAAAGGTGGGGACAGAATCTGTATTGGCAGAGCTTATATATAGAAAGTAAGGTTAAAGAATTGAATGAGTAGGGACAGGACCATGGTTCAGTACAGAGGAGGTAGAAAGAAAATGAGTGGTTAAGAAGAAAAATAAATAAATAGAAAATAATTTTTAAAATTTATCTATTCATTTGTTCATTTATTTTTGGAAAAGGAGAATAGAGGGGAGAGCAGATAGGCTTGAGTTTAGAGTGAAACTAATTAAACAACTAGAAGAAGAAGAGAGCAAGAGAGGAGAAGAAAAACAACAGCATAAAAAAATGCCTAGCAAATAAAGAGAAAAGAGAAGGGTGCATGGACTTGGAGCAGGGGAGAGGAAATTAGATATATGAGTAAGCCAACAGAGACTACAATAATAATAACGTCAATAAAGCAGGTTGAGATCAATTTTTAACAAGGGGTAAAAGGAAAGGAAAGAGAAAACCTAAAGCAAGGACAGGAGAAGAAAAAACAGGATTAAAAAGGGAGAAGTGAGGAAGGAAAGGGTGGAAAAAATAAGGTAAAATAAAATAATAAAAATAGAATGAAGAAAAATAATACAAAAAAAGATTTAAAAAAACAAAAACAAAAATGAAGAAAATGTTTTTACATAAGAGATAAAAAATAAAAAAGTGAAGTGTCGTTCACTTCAGCTGAGTTTTAATGCCCCACGGGGGCTGGTTTAAGAACACACTCTTTTGTTCTGTCTGTCACTTCTCAGTTTCCTGTTAGGTATTCAGCATCATGTTGAAGTTCCAAGAGATACACTGCTCCTCTGTTTGTGTCTATTTCCACAGCCTTGGTTGCAAGCAGGCGGGACCATTGTGCCCGCTTTACCTGTCTGCCTTAATCTGTCTGTCAATCTTAATCACTCAAGTGTCTGCTTCTGGCAGGGCTTTAGTTGGGGGTAGTGCTGTATCGCTTTCTGGGACTGAATGGCCTCTCTTCAACCCAGTCCTTGAGGGCTCTTTGTGGCTATTCAGAGTCTTTGCTTCCTTTGAAAAGCTCATGGGGTAGGCTGGATGTGGCTGTATTAGTTGTCTTGAAGCTGCTGGGAGGGGCTGGCTCTTCAGGAGAAAAATGGCTGTTTAGGTTTGGAGGGTCAGGAAAGACTCAGTGCTGGGTTCCTGGTCACTTCTCCCTGTTATGCTCTCCTTCACTGCCTCTCCTCAGACTCTACAAATCTGCACCTCTATCTGCACCACAGCCTCGGGTGAGTGTTTGTAATTGAAAGGTCCTATGAACTGCGTTTAGTGAGTAAAAGCAAAGACAAAACAAAGGCAAAACAACCATGTGACTGTGAGTTTCTCTCCCCCTGGCACTGCATGGCTCAGGCAGCTCTTCAGGCTGCCTTTCTGGGAACAGCTTCTCATGGCTGTGGACTTAGATCTAGAAACCCCTGCCACCAGCAGCCCTGTGGACTTCCTTTCCACAGTTGGATGTTATTCCTGTTCCCAATGGACTCGGACTTGGTGCAGTGCAGCTTTCTCCTGACCCTCATGGCCCGGTGGTAATGCATCTCTCCAACCCAGATCCCGGATCCTACCATTCTCCAGGCATCCTCTGTCCTTTCTGGCTGTGAATTATCTCACCAGCTGTGTCTAATTCACCAATTTTGGGTGGATGTTATTTGATTTAGTTCAGTGATGGTGAACCTTTTGAGCTCGGCATGTCAGCATTTTGAAAAACCCTAACTTAACTCTGGTGCCATGTCACATATAGAAACTTTTTGATATTTGCAACCATAGTAAAACAAAGACTTATATTTTTGATATTTATTTTTATATATTTAAATGCTATTTAACAAAGAAAAATCAACCAAAAAAATGAGTTCGCGTGTCACCTCTGACACGCGTGTCATAGGTTCGCCATCACTGATTTAGTTGCTCCTTCCTCCGCTCCGGGACAAGGTGCAGGACATGTCTGCCTGTTCGGCCACCATTTTTCTTCCTCCAACAAAAGCTATTTTAAAAAGGCATTTATGAGACAATTAAGGACATTTGAGTACTGAGTGGATATTTGATGATTTTGAGTATTATTTGTATTGTGGTTATGATAAGCAAAGGTCCTTTGTTTTAGAGATGCATACTGAAGTATTTATGGATGAAATTATATGCTGCCTGGAATTTTCTTTAAAATAATTTGGGCTTGTGGAAGGTGGGTGGGAGTATAGATTAAATCAGATTAGCTCTTCATTGACACTTGTTGAAGTAAGGTAATTCATGAAGTACGTGGGGATTCATTAGACTCTTCTTTCTACTTTTGTGCATATTTGAAAATTTCCATAACAAAAAATGAAGAAAAGTGAATGAGTTAATATCCATTATTCTTACTCTCTAGAAAAAAATCTAAATTAAGTTGCTTTTTATTGTTATGTGGTTCATGTTTTGTTTTGTTTTTCCTGTGGGCTGCTGGTTCTTGACAGAAAAACAGTCACTATCACCCTTGATTATGAAAGCACAGACTGAGTGTTTGCTGATATTTGAGTAAAAGTGGGACCTACTTAACTCAATCCAATATTCAAAAGTCTTAACTTGCCCTGGCCAATGTGGCTCAGCTAATTGGGCATCATCCCATGCAGGGAAAGGTTGCCAGTTCAATTCAGGTCAGGGCACATGCTGGGATTGTGGGTTTGATCCCCGGTAGGGGGTATGCAGGGGGCAACAGATTGATGTCTCATTCTCATATCAATGTTTCTCTCTCCTTCTACCTTCCTCTCTCTCTAAAAATCAATAAAATATTTTAAAAGTCTTAAATTAATTAAAATCTGATTGCAGTATGATTCTTCAGTGACAAAAAGGTTTCTCTGGTGTATTTAAAATAGGATTTAATGAATAAGAGCTTGGCTTATGTGCTACTTTCTGAGACTCCATCTATTGTAGAAATTGAGGTCCATTGTTTTCCTTCTGTAAACTTTGTTATGTTATGTGTATTTGCATTTCACTACCTTTACCTTTCAAAGAGAATGAAGCAGCATGGCTCCAAACTAACTAAAGCAGGTTTTCCATTTCTATTTTGTTTCTCCAGAGAATGCAGATGATGTTGCTAAGCACATTTTAAATTTGATAAATAAGTCCCCCTCTCTGGATGAAGAAGAAACAAGGATTATTGTTTCTAAATTATCTGATATTTCACAATGTGATGAGATAAGTATGAAACTAACCAAGATTATATTACAAATAATCGATGCTGTTTTGGGAAAGCAAAACAATTCAGTATCTGATCTACATGAAGTAAGCAATGAGTAAGTACTAATACTTTGGTAAAATAAATTGTTTCATACTATTTGTTATTAATTCCTTCACATATAGTAATCACCAATTTTAAAGGTCACATAGCTATGCATTGAAAACTAAGCTGTGAAAAAATGCATTCAAAATTTAACGGAACCTTAATGAGAATGACTTTCCAAATAAATAGTTACCCAAACCAAACCTCGGATCTATTTCCCCACTGCTGGTGCTTCCCCAATGTTGCCCATTTCTATAAAATGCTTCCACCCAGTGTTCAAGCAAAAAAAAATTAAGAATAAAGCTACGTACCTCCCTCTACCTTGCAGCCAACAAGTAACCAAGTCTTGTATGAGGCACTGCATATAATTTGTTGTTGTTAATCCTCATCCAAGAATATTTTTCCATTGATTTTTAGAGTGAGTGGAAAGGAGGGGAGAGACAGAGAGAAGAAATATTGATGTGAGAGAGACACATTGATTGATTGCCTCCTGCACATACCCTGACCAGGGCCGGGGATTGAGCCTGCAACCGAGGTACATGCCCTTGACTGGAATTAAACCTTTAGTCCATAGGCCAAAGCTCTATCCACTGAGCAAAACTGGGTAGGGTCATAATTTTTTAAATTAAAAAAATTTTTATTGATTTTTTTAGAGAGAGGGAGAGGAAGGGCGAAAGAGAGACAGAGAAACATAGGTGTGAGGGAGAAATATTGATCACCTGCCTCCTGCAAGCCCCCTACCAGGGATCAAGCCTGCAACCTGGGCATGTGCCCTGACTGTGAATGGGCCCAGCAACTTTTTGCTGCACCAGAGGATGTCCAACCAAATTGAGCCACACCAGCCAGGGCTGTACATAATTTTTAAATCCTTTAAATATTCCTGGAATCCATCTACTTCTCTCTGTCTTTACCACCACTTTCCTATTCCTAGCTCCATTTGTCTCATCTGACTTTCTACAGTAACCTGCAAACTGGTCTCTCTGTTCTGCTCTTGCCTCTCTCTGTCTATTTTCTACATACCAGCCAGAATGATCTTTTAGTGTATATATCATATCATGTCATTATCTTGCTTTTAAAACTACGCAGTGGCTTTCTGTTACATGTAGAAAAAAGTCCAAATGTCTTGGCCCATGAGGCCATGTAGGTTCTGGCTTTACATACAATAGTTTTATTTAATCTTTAAGAAAATCTTTTGAGATGAGTGCTAGTATTACTCTGACTTCACATGTGAGGAAATGGAAACTCAGTGATGTTATTTATGTGCCCACATAGTTAGAAATCAGAGGAGCGAAGATTTAGACCTTCTGTCTGAGTGCAAAACCAAGGCTCCTATCTAATAATTCCTTAACAAAATGAAGATAGTGATTAAAACTCAAAGAAAAGTCTCACACTTAGGAAATCTTATAAGGAGGATGGGTTTTTTACATTTAAAAGGTAGGAATGCTCTTCTCTACCTGGTGTTTCTTGCAGAATTCTGAGGATAATCAACCGTGCCGGTCACAAGATGGAGTTTTTGGGGAGGACAGCAAATCTGACAGTGGCCAGCCTGGCTTTGGCTGTCCTGCGGGTGGACCACACATTTGAAGGCATGATCTTCAGCATTGGCTCCTATGAAGAAGGTACAGACCCTGAGGTGAGTGCAGCTCAGGGAACTGAGAGCCAATCTGCCAAGCATTTTTTCTAACTCTTCATTCATTCACCCCATGGGAGGAAGAGGGGTTACTTTTTGTAACGTTTTAATCTTCAGGGGACCTTATCAAAACACAACTATCCCTGGAGTGATTTATACATAACCCTCAGTAGGCTAACACACCTTGGTTGAAATGGCATCTATGAGATGTGCAATGATACCACCTTTGGTCCCGTGACCTGTAATCATCTCAAATGTCAGTTTATCATTTGGTACTATTTATGGAGCACTTATTACATGTTGAGCATTGTGTTACTGTTTCCTTTTTGCAGATAAATAAACAGAAAAGTTAAGTAACTTGTCTAAGGATTCACAGCCTAATGGCTGAGCCGATATTCAAACTTATGCCTGGATAGCTTTAAAGTCTGGGCCATTTCCACCACTGCATTACTTCAGCCTTTGTCAGGTCATAGGCTGCCAAAACCTGTTCAAAACAATTTGAGAGACCAGTATCTTTTAAACTTAAAAAATTATAACATTTACAAACAGGGAATTACACAAATTCTAAGTATATAATCTCTGAATTTTGACAGATGTGTGCATCTGTGTATCTTAAATCCCTAGCTACACTAATAAAGGACAAAGATGCTAATTGACCATACCCTCGCTATGCCCATCAGCCAATCAGAAGAGTATGCAAATTAACCCAACAAAGATGGCCGTTAAATTTGCATACTGCAGGTGGGGCGGGCAGCTCGAGACGCTGCCCCGGGGATCTGGGCCTCGGATCTGTGACCCAGCGAGGCAGGGCTGGCAGTACCAGAGGCTGCAGACAGGGTCCAGGCCCCAGATTGGGAATGGGGGAAGCGGAGCAGGCAGCTCCAGATGCTGCTGTGGGGTCCAGCAGAGTGAGAAAGCTGGTGGCTTGGAGGGCATGGCTCCTCTGTCACCCCAGCTTCCTCATGGCAACTGTGGAAACTGACAGCAGGGAGGAGGAAGTACCACCCCCCCAGAATCATCGAGAATCAGCTGTTGGTCACACAGCTCTAAGTGGCCTGACAGCCAGGACTCTCATTCACCTGCATCTCAGACCATGGCAGTAGAGAGGTGGGACTATGCCCAAAGAGAAACTGTTGATACAACGTAGCTCTGCAGCTAAAAGATGCCGGCATTATTGGCAGAAAATGTCTGCAGAGAATGTGCGTCTGATCTTGAAAGAAGATGGCGCCTGCAACAGAATGTATCTGAAGAGCAGCTACTGGAAAAACGTCACTCTGAAGCCGAAAAACAGCGGCGTCATCGACAGAAAATGTCTAAAGACCAACATGCCTTTGAAGTTGAAAGAAGGCGGTGGCGATGACAGAATATGTCTAGAGAACAGTCATCAACAAGTACTACCAATACCGGTAGGAACTGCCTTCTCAGCGAAAATGGAGTACATGACGATGCAATCCTCAAACATAGTTGTGGTGGAATGACTGTTCAATGTGAATTTTGCCTATCCCTAAATTTCTCTGATGAAAAACCATCCGATGGGAAATTTACTCAATGTTGTAGCAAAGGGAAAGTCTGTCAAAATGATATACATTTTCCAGATTACCCGGCATATTTAAAAAGATTAATGACAAATGAAGATTCTGACAGTAAAAATCTCATGGAAAATATTCGTTCCATAAATAGTTCTTTTGCTTTTGGTTCCATGGGTGCAAATATTGCATCGCCATCAGGGTATGGGCCATACTGTTTTAGAATACACGGACAAGTTTATCACCGTACTGGAACTTTACACCCTTCGGATGGTGTTTCTTGGAAGTTTGCTCAACTCTATATTTTGGATACAGCTGAAGCTACAAGTAAAAGATTAGCAATGCCAGAAAACCAAGGTTGCTCAGAAAGACTCATGATCAACATCAACAACCTCATGCATGAAATAAATGAATTAACAAAATGGTACAAGATGTTACATGAGGTAGAAAAGGAAGCCCAATCTGAAGCAGCAGCAAAAGGTGTTACTCCCACAGACGTAACAGTGGCAATTAAATACGATCGTAACAGTGAACCAGGTAGTTATAATTCTCCCCATGTAACCGAAGTTGCTGTCATATTCTGAAACGAAGATGGAGAGCCTCCTTTTGAAAGGGACTTGCTCATTCATTGTAAACAAGATCCTAATAACCCAAGTGCCACTAAAATGAAACAAATCATTATCCTGTTTCCTACATTAGATGCAATGACATATCCTATTCTTTTTCCACATAGTGAACAAGGCTGGGGAACAGATATTGCATTAAGACTCAGAGACAACAGTGTAGTCGACAATAATACTAGACAAAATGTAAGGACACGAGTCACACAAATGCAGTATTATGGATTTCATCACACGTTCAATCCTATTTTAAATGCAGGAAAATTAACTCAACAGTTTATTGTGGATTCATATTAAAAAATGGAGGCCAGTCAGATAAATTTCATCAAAGCAACCCAATCTAAATATAGTGGTTTGATGGATTATCTCAAATCTAGATCTGAAAATGACAATGTGCCGATTGGTAAAATGATAATACTTCCATCATCTTTTGAGGGTAGTCCCAGAAATATGCAGCAGCGATATCAGGATGCTATGGCAATTGTAACGAAGTATGGCAAGCCCGATTTATTTACAACCATGACATGCAACCCCAAATGGTCAGATATTACAAACAATTTACAACACTGGCAAAATGTTGAAAATAGACCTGACTTGGTAGCCAGAGTTTTTAATATTAAGCTGAACGCTCTTTTTAAATGATATATGTAAATTCCATTTATTTGGCAAAGTAATAGCTAAGATTCATGTCATTGAATTTCAGAAACGCGGACTGCCTCACGCTCACATATTATTGATATTATTGATATTAGATAGTGAGTCCAAATTACGTTCAGAAGATGACATTGACCGTATAGTTAAGGCAGAAATTCCAGATGAGAACCAGTGTCCTCGACTTTTTCAAATTGTAAAATCAAATATGGTACATGGACTATGTGGAATGCAAAATCAAAATAGTCCATGTATGGAAAATGGAAAATGTTCAAAGGGATATCCAAAAGAATTTCAAAATGAGACCATTGGAAATATTGATGGATATCCCAAATACAAAAAAAGATCTGGTAACACCGTTTCTATTATTATTGAGTTATAAGGGCTTTTTTTTTTTACATATTCTAGAGAAGAGCCATTTATCAGATATATATTTTGAAAATATTTTATCTTTGGCTTCTCTGTTTATTTCCTCAGTGATGTCTTTTGATGAACATAAGTTTTAATTTTGATGTGTGTTTTTTCTTTTATGAATAACAATATATGATTTGTCTAAGAAATCTTTGCCTACCAGCTGGTCATGAAAATATTCTCCTATACTTTTCTTTAAAAGATCTATGGTTTTAGCTTTTATGTTTAGGACTATAATTCAAATTAATTGAATTATATTTCGCGTATGGTATGGTGCATGGTTTGGAGTTCATTTTGTTCAGTATCAATATCTATTGATTTCAGCACCATTTATTGAAGACTTTTATTTCCCAGTGTCTTGCTTTAGCATCTTTTAAAAAATCAAATACTTGTGTAAATATTAGGCTATTTCTTCACTATTCTCTCTCTCCTTTCCTCTTGGGACTCTGAATAAATGTACATAAGAATTTTTTATGCTGGCTCAAAGGTCCCTGAGACTCTGTTCATGTTTTTAATCATTTTGCTATCTATTCTTCTGATCGCATAATTCTATTGGTTTATCTTCATGTTCATTGACCTCTGTCATCTTCATGTTACTACTGAACCCTTCCTGTGCAATTTAAAAATTTTCAATACTGTATTTTCAGTTCTGGAATTTCTATTTTGTTGTGTGATTTTTGCTTGTTTCCATGCTGTTTCTTCCTCTTTTTGTGATAATTGAAAGCATATTTTATTTTAAATACCTGAGCATAGTTATAGTAGTTATACATAGTTTAAAATTCTTGCCTGCTATTTCTAACATCTGAGTCATCTCAAAATTAATCTCCGTTGATATTATTTTCACTGAAAATGAATCACATTTGTTTTTCTTTCATATATTGAGTAATATTGGATTATGTCTTTCATATTGTGAGTGTTATGTTGTGGAAACTCTCTATTCTACTATATTCCTCTAAAGACTATTGATTTTTGTTATACCAACTAACTTGGTTGGAATCAAACTGTAGATTCTATCTCTTGGGTGACAGCTCAAATCTCAGTCATCTTTTACTTGGAGTCTGTTTTGTACATATGTGGTTCAGAAGTCAGGGGGACTTTATATTCAGAATTTTGGTCCCCCCTCCTCCATTTAGCTCTCTGTTCTTTGGGATTTGTCATTGACCTTCCAGTGGCTGTTGTTGTCTAGACCTTTTTATGGTTCTTCATGTCAGAAAGACTGCAGATTTTCTACCATAATTTTGAGCATCTTTCATAGTATTAGTTTTAGACTGCCATCAGGTAAAGGTTATAAAAACTGTTAGCTCAACTTGTGATGTTACCATTTTCCAAATGTCTACTGTTCTCCAGAATCTGCCTGCTTTTTGTCATTTTTCAGTGTCTTCAAGTCATGGGTATTTTCTATAGTTTTTATATACAGGAGGGTCAAGTCCATTAGGAGCTATTCAGCCATACTAGAAGCAGTTGTTGATTTTCCATTGTGTTTTGGTTACACGGAGTATCCTATTATAGACCTTGATGGAGAAACAAACAAACCAACCCTGTTCACATTTTTTAAAATTTTCTTTATTAAGGTATTACATATATGTCCTTATTCCACCTTACCCTCCCCCCCCCCGCTCATGCCCTCACACCCCTGGTGTCTGTGTCCATTGGTTATGCTTATATGCATGCAAACTGCTTACATCAAGCATGTCAAACTTGCGGCCTGCTGGAAGCCAGTCCATCCTTGCTGCTTGACACAGTCGCTGCAGGGAAGAAACATCTGCACAGCATATGTTTCAAGGGACCTGGCATATATGGCATACTGTTCTTAATATGTTTGCTCCCCCTTTTTAGCGCTATGTGTTATAACCAGAGCCACCTCCCTGAGAAAGGTTGTTTCCCCAGGTGGGGATGTTTCCCTGGAATTAGGGATTAATGGGGCTAGGGAAGGGAATAAATCAGTAAAACTCCTTAACTAAGTGCCAGGCGGGTAGTTAATCACCTTAACTAAGAACAATCATGCTTAAGCTACATAATCCTTACTTAGGTCATAGAATAGAAAAATTTCCTTCAGTTATTTCCTTATAGCTTAACAGTAGAACAATAGGATAATGACCTTGGAATAGAGACAACAAACTAGCCCTTATAATGGAACACAGAGACTAACCTAGACAAGATTAAAATCAACAGAGCTAGATAGAGATAAGATTTTTATCAAAGGTCAGATAAGAAACTATAAACATAAAACAAGGAACAGTAGAAGGTCAAAGGAGGACCCAAAACATATGATAATGTAACTATAGAGGCATGCTTATAGGATCAAATGGTATAAATACAGCTGTAACAGGACAATAAAAGAGAACCTGGCTATGCTGATCATCTGAACGCTGTCTCTGTGTCCTTCATTCTTCGCTGACTTCATCCACACCTTTGGGAACCCCTGGACCGCTGGGGCTGGACCCCAGCAGCAGCCGGTTTGGCTTACATATTGAAGCTAAAGTATAACCTCTCCATAGTACTTGATTGCCTTAGCAGAGTTCATTTGTGCCAGGACAAGAGCTATATGGCTTTTGGGATTACAAATCATTCTTAGAACAATTATAAACTTTCATCTCTCCATGATGCACCCAGCTACATAACAGTTCCTTGGCAGTATGGATAGTGGGGGAAATGTGGGACAAAATCACATATATCTTTGTAAAATTACATCCCAACTATGTGACCTTAGACAAGTCACTTAACCTCTCTGAGCCCCCATTTCCTGATAGCATAGACAACATACTTTCAGAGTTTAAAGGGGGATTAAATGAGAGAATACATATAATAGTGCCTATATACTTTGTTTTGTCTGGAAGAGTCCAGGTTTACAACTGTGGTCCTAATGTAATTATTGGTAAAGCTCCCTTCACTGTCAAAAATATTCTAGTACTTATCAAATATTATTACCAGTCAAATCAGCAAATTATTCTGATAGTGAGCCTCTAGAAGAATTCTTAAGGCCAAACACCTCACTTTCTTGCCTCAATTATTAACAAAAGCATTGCTGAGTAAACTATGGGGCAAGTACCTAATGCTATTGTACTGTTTTTATTTTTTTCTATCCCCCCCCCTTAGAACTATATGGAAGAAGACTGGCCTTTATTTATGAGAATGAGAATCAAATCACCCAATTTGTCATTCCTCTTTCCACCTCTATAAATACCCAGGTGGAAGAAGATCAAAGGGAAAGAAACTCAAAGATAGGTTTAGAAAGAAAAGGGTACTGTGTGTGTCTATGTCTATGTGCACCTGGTCATGTCTTAGCCTGTCATCTGATTGTGCACATGTCTGCACTTGTGTGTGTGTGTGTGTGTGTAAAAGGGATAGCATAGTGTGTGGAGCTAGTTCTCATCCTTCAGCCCTCCACGTGATACTCTGGGGCTGAGGCTGAGCTGGAGTGGGAGGTGGAGAGGACTTCAAGCTCATGGGTGATGACTCTCTAGTTTTTATTTTCTGGCTTTTCTTGGCAGATTTACCTAAGTGAAGTCCCTCTGGGGAGGGTTTTGGCTTCCATATATTTGCCTAAATCACTGAAGGAGAGAATTCCTCTTAGCAACTTACAGACCATCTTATTTAATTTCTTTGGCCAAACTTCACTTTTTAAGGTAAGTTCTTGCCTTTGGTAACGATCATGGACTGACATGTGGTGACTCATAGTAATTATGAACTCTTCCTATTTTCATGATGTTTTGTTTATTTTAGAATTATGCTTTCTGATTTATTCCACAAGCCTCCCAGCACAACCTCTGGCTCACAACATGAATCAACATATATTTTAATAATATTCCACAATTTTTAATTTTCACAGCTTCTCAGCTTTAGAAGGGACCTTAAGGATGATCTGGTGACCAAACAGAGTCCTCAAGATGTTTCTAAGCCAGAAAAGAACAGCAAGTTCTCCTGATGAAATGCTGTTTCAGCTTGTCAGTATTTTCCTCCCAAATCTCCCTGGCCTCCTCCAAACCAACATGCCCACTCTCACAGGCCAATTTATTTGAAACTGAGTGGTGTCCAACAGAACAATTGCTTGCAGGAATTTGTTATTCTTTCTCACTGCCTCCACAGCACCTTCTCTGAGGGATCCAGTCCTCACCCATTATTGAAACAGAGAGGCAATATAATGTGGTGTTAAGAGCATAGACTCTGGGACCAGACTGGCTGAATTTAAAGCTGGCTATGTTGTAATCTTCCTTTGTGACCTTGGACAAGTTACCCAACCTCAATGTGCCTTAGATTACTCCTATGTAAAACATGATAAGAGTCAGTACCACACTTGGCTGTTGAAGGATTAAAAGAGTTAATATATATATATAGTACTTAGAATATTGGCTGGCACATAATAAGCACCATGTAAATGTTTGCATTGCTATTATTATTTTCCTATATTGGGGCTCTGCCTACTAAAAATCCCATTCCTTCAGCCTGTTCTGTCTCATTTAGCTGTTGGGAAGACAGCAATCAAAATTTGTGTGAAGTTGTTAATATTTACACTTATTATCTCATGTACTTCTCACAAGAAACTGAGACTCAAAGAATGCTGTGGTCTGAATGTTTGTATCCTCCCAAAATTATTGTGCTGAAATCCTAACCCCCAAGGGGATGGTATTAGCAAGGAGGTACTTTGGGAGATGATTAGATTCTGAGAATGAAGCACTCATAAATGGGATCAGGGCTCTTATAAAAGAGGCCTTAGAGAGCTCCCTCGCCTTTTTCACCAGGTGAGGACACTGCAAGGTGCCATCTCTCAACCAGAGAGTGGGCTTTCACCAGAACCTGACCATATGGGCACCCTGCTCTTAGACTTCTAGCCTCCAGAACTGTGAGAAATAGATTTCTGTTGCTTATAAGCTACTCAGTCTGTGGTAATTTGTTATAGCAGTCTGAACAGACTAAGACAAAGAGATTAAGTAATTTTGCCCAAGATCACACAACTAGGAAGTGGCAAAGCTAGGAATCAAACACAGGCTATCTGACTCCAAAGCTCAAGTATATAATAGGTCAGTACGTTAACTTGCCCAGGTGTGCTTGCATTTTCTAAAGAGGCTATTCAGAGGAATGAATTTCTAATGGTCAAATATTCACAGAATTATTTTGGGGAAGGTTGTTCTGGGCCAACTTAAATATACCACATACCAACTTAAATATACTACACTGTTTCCAGCTATGTCTGTCAGATGTTCTGTTCTACTGGAATTCTTTAGCCTGTCCCCTATCTATCTAAAATCTATTTATTCCTGTGGGCTTAGCTCAAATCCCACTCAGTAAGTCTGCTTGAAGTATGTGAGCCTCTGCTCTCCTCCTCCTGCTTGTATTCTTGTTTTATACTTCTGCCTAATTTTTCAAGTAGGCTGTGGCATATGTCATGGCTCAGATATGTTTTATTTTTATGGTACCCAGGATAGGGCTAGGTACCCAACATGTTTTCAGTGCATATATATTTATTATAAGTTTCTAAATCCTCATCTCAGGACATACCTGAGATAGAGAAAGAAAGAGAGAGAAACATTGATGTGTGAGAGAAATATCAGTGTGAGAGAGAAACATTGACCAGTCACCTTCCATACGTGACCCGACTGGGAATTGAACCTACAACCTAGGTATGTGCCATGATTGGGAATTGAACTGACAACCTTTTGATGCACAGGACAATGCTCAACCAACTGAGCCACTCTGGCTAGGCTATTATACCTTTTTAAATAGCAAAAATGAAGCTGGATACAGAACAAGACAGCTAATAAAAATTAAGAATGTGATTCATAAGCACTCTGACCACGTTGGTAGGCTTGTAATTTCACTGTATCATCTGAGATGCCATTATTTTGGTAATTTTCTGTTTCTTCAGAGGGCTGTGCTTGTGTTATAGAACAAAAGATAAACTTCTCTGCATACATTTCAAACCTAATAAGTATTTTATATTCACTAACACCTTCCATCAAAAGGGATTAAAGATCTTTGCCAAAAATAGCCTACAGACGTCATAGTGCCAGATGAAGAAGGATTAGAACTAGCTTGTCATCAAATTCAGAGCTGGAAGGGCCCTTATAACTCATAATGTCTCATCTCCTCATTTTACCAATGAGTAAACTGAGACCCAAATAGGGAAAAGGACCTGCTGGAGGTGACACAATTCATTTATTTATTCATGCAGTTAGTTATCCAGACAGCAAATACTTATTGAATTCCTACTATGTGTCTTGCATGGTGCTGGATGCTAGGAATACAATGATGAGCAATATGGTGCCTGCCTTTATGGAACTTGCAGTCTAATGGGAGAGAACAGAGACATAAAGATTCTAACAAGTGGTAACCTGAGAGTGAGACCTATGCCACTGGTTGTAGGGGAGTGAGTAAATACCATTTCACCTGAGTCCTGAATTATACAGGCTTGCTTTCACATTCCTTCTTCTAATATATTTTTATCAAAATCTTAACTGTGATTACAACATATTACCTTAAAAATTGTTAAGACCCCACTCTTAGAAAATATTTATCTCCTCCACCACTCCTCCACTAGTGGCAGTTCTCAGGGAAAGGAACAAAGCACTAGGCAAGTACAATATGGCACGGGGGCACTGTGAGCATAGATGATGGCACCTACCCTTGTTTGGGAGATCAGAGAATGCCTAGTGTAAGAGAGGTATCAGCTGAGACCTGAGGTTGAGTAGGAGCTGGAAGATGAGAGATAGTGAGAAAAAGAGGAGTTTTTCAGGCAGAGAGAGCAGCCTATATAAAGTTTCAGAAGTGAAATAGGTAAAACTTGAGCCTAGAGCTCAGGGTGAAAGAATGAAAAATGATTTAGTTCCTTTCCTTGCACAGCCACTATTTTGTATGTAAGGGAAACAAAGCCAGAGAACAGGTTAATTAAATTCTGGGTCATGGTGTTTCTCTTCCCTTGGTCTTTCTACTGCAGAAAACTGTATGTCTCAGACTAAGTTGGGAGGGTTGTTAGCTGTCATCTGGTCTACCTTTCTTCATGTCACCAGTGTCCCAGAAAGGGAAAAGAACTTTTAAGGAACAGTAGGATTTGGGCATACACTTGGTCTTTTGACTATTAGCTAAGGCCCTTTGTACCATATCCAACTTTAAATCAGGCTACACCAAAGCAATTACACTGTAAAGGGAGTCCTGAACCATTAAGCTGGCTTTAGAGGAACAGAATTGGTCAAAAACAGGAAATGAGTAGCTTCCTAGTGGACCCAGGCTGTACTCACAAGTACTGAGTTCTTAGTGGCTGCAGGGCTCAGAAATATGAAGATTTGTCATCTTCTGAAAGTGGCCCAGTAGGCTCCCCAAGGGACATCATTTGGGCTCACCTCCTCTAAATTTTCTTGACAAGTCTTCAGAAGATTTGATTCTTCTCCCTCCTGTCTTGCATCTGCCCTATCTTTCATCTCTTCACTTGTGCCTTAGAAGGGACAGTCACTTGTGCCCTAGAAGAGGCAGTTTTCAGCTGCTTTGTTTCCTGAAGCCTTGACATGTAGCACTTTGGCCTTGTTAATTATCAAGCTCCACACCTTAAGGACTACATTCTAGTTTGTTTCCTTTAAACCAACATTTGTTAAGCAGCCCTGCCCTATCGCTCACTAGCTGTATGAATTTTGTCCAAGTTTTTAAGCCTCCCCAAGCCTCCGTTTAACTGAAAAATGCTTATATTGTTTCAGTGACCCAGTAACAAAGTAACTGACTCACTGTGGGTACAAGATAAAATACCTACATGTGGGAGACAACAAGACACATAATGCCTGTGCTCTGGCCTCAGAGTTCTTGGTCTCCTTGGGGGGATGAATGTCCTCAGAGACTTGTTCCAAGCAGATGTTGATCAATCTACTTCCATTTCCAGTGAGGATAGAATAGGAGTGGCTTATAACTAAGTCATGATGGATTAATGTTCCTTATAAGGAGGGGCTCCCGAGAAGTAAGGATGGTTGAGGGTTAGAACTGGGATAAGTTGGGACATATCGGGGTCCAGAAAGTTATCAAAGTAGGGAATAGTTTGATTTTGTTGCTTGTGCAGTATTGAGTAGCAGGCACAAAAACAATGCTTGTTGGGTAGATATTTGGGTGTATGGAGATTAATAAATTATTCTAATTTGGTATAAATGAGACTTTATATGAAGACAGGAGATGAGCTTCACAATCTTTAAAAATTCTTTCTTAACTCATGATTTTATTTTCAATATTTCTCTACCTAATGATGTATATTACTTCAAAATTCTATATTGATTATTGGAATGCAAAAAATTAGAAATTTAGGACCTGAACTCCTCTTCCTTATGTTTCATCTATAGATCAAAAACGTCACTAATACATTAACCACATATGTTGTGAGTGCCAGCATTTCAGATATATCCATTCAAAACTTGGCTGACCCAGTAGTTATTACTCTGCAGCATATTGAAGGAAACCAGGTAACACATCCATTTTCATCTCAGAATAAAAAGGCCTCAGAATCCCTCCATGATTGTCCAAATAAAAATAATTGGCTAGTTAACCGATGTGATCTAAAACTTAATGAAGATTATTCCATTTCAGGTAGCTGAGATGTATTGTAATTGGGATTTCTAGAAATAATGCCTTAGCCTAAAGGGATAACTAATGGTGAACTTCTAGCACTGTGACAGATTGGCAGAGGAGTGACTATGAGCATGTGGATTTGTGGTTGTCCCGTCACACTAAATGGTATTTAATTCCATGTATTTAAGAGTGAAGCAAACAACTCAAAATAATATTTAAATATCTTTATCCTTTGAATTTCCATGAAGAACATTACAATATGTATTAATTATCACCAAAGATTTAAAGCCATAGTCATATGGCAAAACATAAGGTATATATTACTAAATGATCAAATTTAGCCATGGTATAATAATGAACTACTATTGCATTTTTTGATGTTAATGTATGTCCAGTGAGAAGTCTTAATAGCTTCCTTCATTCCCAATCTAAAAGACCACATGGTACAACATATTCTTCCCAGCTCTTAATTCTAGAAGGGAAGAAGAAAGAATGGGAAAGGGAATTAAGAAGAACCCAGATACCAAATGAAACATGTTAGCTGGGTAAGATGTCAATTCCGGCTGGGTCCACAGTACTCCAAGCATGCCCCAATAACCAGTTTCTCATTGTCTCCAGTCCTAGAGATTGCAGAAGCTGGTGAGGCCTCAGGAATGCTCATTAGGCCTAAGAAGGAGGCAGCTGAACCTTGTACCTATAAGGCTTGATCTCAGCTTTGAGCCCCAAATTCCAAAGTTCCATGTGGAACACCTTCCATACATCAGACCTGCACTGTCCATCCACAGCCTCCTCCTGGGCCTCGCACGAGGAGAGTGTGGAAAACTCATATGTTATCAAATATTTTAAGGGACACACACCAGATCACCATGCATAACATGTTGTTTTCTTTCTTGTAAATCCCAAGTTATCTGTGGTTAATCTTAAAACCAACTCACAAATGGTCTATGTGTATATACTATTTGAAAAAACAGTAAGAAAAAACAACACTTGTGTGTTTTTGCTATTGTGTAGTAACTATCACAAGGAAAGGTGCTTACCTATGATTTTTCTTTTTTCTAGAATTATGATCAAATTCATTGTGCCTTTTGGGACTTTGTGAAGAACAGTAAGTATTTTTCAAAACTTTGTCTTTGTCTTTCAGTGAGACTTTGCCCCTGGCCATTTTTCTGTTTGGCAGTTGAAGCAAGGGAGTTTTACTGAAGCTACTGTCTTATCAGACCCTACAGAGAACTCTGATTGGCCGAAATACAAATATGAGCTTTATAATCAACTAGTGGCCTGGTGCACGAAATCCATGTGTGTGTGGGCATCCCTCAGCGCAGCCTGCACCCTCTCCAATTGGGGACCACAGGGATTGGGCCTAAACCGGCAGTCAGACATCCCTCTTGCAATCTGGGACTGCTGGCTCCTAGCCGCTCACCTACCAACCTGCTTGATCGCCCCTAACCTCTCTGCCTGCCTGCCTGATCTCGCCCCCAACTGCCCTCTCCTATTGGCCTGATCTCCTCCCCAACTGCCCTCCCCTGCTGGCCTGATCACCCCTAACTGCTTCTGCCTCGGCCCCCACCACATGGCTTTGTCTGGAAGGAAGTTGGAAGTCTGGAAGATGGCCGGTGGACCAGGTCTAATTAGCACATTACCCCTTTTTTAGTATAGATAGATTATATAGGATAGGATTGCTTAAATGAGGGGGGGAGCTTTTTTCAGCAGGAGGAGATGCTCTTGGCAGAAAAAAATACATAATCCCTATATCTGGACTGATAGCCAGCCATATGCACTATACTGCCAAACCAGTCATTAAAAAATTGAACCACTTTCTTACACCTTACACCAAACAGCTATTTCCCTTAAAACCCCTCCTCAGCCCCCACCTTAGGTTCTGTCTTCGCAGTTCACCCTGATTAGGTTCTGATTGGTCAGTTTCTATGCCAGTCAGCGTCAAAAGCTCCACCTCCTAGGCAGCCATCTTGTGAGGGTGTGTGGGTCAATTTGCATATTACCTTTTTATTATATAGAATAAGGGCATGGGGGTTTAAAAAAACATGTTCTTCTCTATAAGAGACTTATTTTGGGGATCAGAAATTCACACAACTCAGGGGTAAGCAAAGTTGGAAAAAAGCTAGAAGACACAGAGCAGATTGGCCTCAAGCTGATTAAAGAAATTTGAGGAATGAACACCTGGCTCTTTATCTGTGGTTTCCCACAGAGATTTGCAACATCTACTGCTAAATCTTTCCCTTTTTTTCCTCATCTCTTCTAACCTTACTGTGTGTCCTTGGGTAGTCCATTTATCTCTTGGGGCTCCAATCTTTTTATCTTTTCATTGAGGCGATAAGACTTCCAGCTTGGTCTTTAAGGGCCCTTCCTGATTTGCTTGGTATGAGTCTTTGGGCACAGTAAGAGAATGGGTTGGGGATAAGATGCTGAATGGGTCCCTCTTAGACTTGCCATCTCAATTTGAATCTTCAGGGATATTGCCTAATCTCAGGGAATTCCCAGACAGAATCAATTTCCCCTGGAATGCCAGGAGTGGCTATGTGACCAGTCTTCCACCTGTGGAAGCTCCGCCTGGGAACTTGTCATTTTACAGTATCCTTGGAATTCTGAGAGAAAAGAGAAAGTCTCTTCCTACTTAACTCCCTGGGATATGGGAATACTATTCCTTTCCTACAACAGAGATAGTTCTGTGATTTCCTGGTCTCCTCTAAGTCTCCCAGGATAAGAGTCCTATAAAATGGTGAGCTTTGCCCCTCACAGTATAAATAAGTTTATCTGCTCATTAATGCAAGTTCCTTGGTTCTTCCAGGTCACCCTTTGCCCCTATCCCTCTGTCCATGGATCCAGAACCTCTGGAATCTATGGAGTTATCCTAGATGGAAAAATGTTGATCATATTTAGCTGTTTGCCTTAGAATAACCTCTTTGGTCTGGTGCTACCCTGGAGGTTCTACTCTAAATCTGATCTAGTACCCAAAATCTACAGGTTATGGAGGTTTGAGGGTTGGTGTTAGAATCCTAAATATGTTCAGGAGTGAGAAACTAGGCAGGTGTCAAGTAGACCAGAAGCTTTAATTGGGCTTCAGACCATGATCTGGCTTGAGTACAAAGAATGTGAGATTATTTGAATTCTGGATTGAACTGGTTATTTCAGATGTCTATTCCAGTCTCACAGCGTATGCCCAAGTGTCAGCCTATATTCCATAACTTGTGTCCTTCAGAAAGTTCTAGATCTACCTGTTTCCTATTTGTGCTACTTGAAAAAGAACAGTACCTAATTCTGTCGTTTTAGCATGGTGGTAGGGCTGTTGCTCATGATTAGAGTCTGTCATAATCTGTATAGGAACAGGAAGAGTGAGAGCCAAGAAGTTATGACATTTATGAAGTCCCCCCCTAAAAAAATCAATTGAGCTTACTAGACTTAATTTAATTTCAGTGTTCAATTATACCTCTATGTTGCTGTCTTAACAAACAATACTAATTACAAGACATGTTTGGAAGGTGCATATAATGAAAATTTAAATATTTCTGAGAAAAACAAAAATTGCTTTGAAATTTCCTTCTGTCTCCTGCAGATGGGCTAGGTGGATGGAATTCATCAGGCTGTAAAGTAAAGGAAACAAATATAAATTACACAATCTGTCATTGTGACCACCTCACCCATTTTGGAGTCTTAATGGTGAGTTTTCTCTTAAGCACGCTTTGATAGAATTTTGACAACTTTCATTGGATTACAGTTCAGGAATATATTTGTGAACTAAGTTATAGAAAAGTGTCAAGTGGAAAAAAAGCTCACCTGTGTTCATCCAAAATAGAGATTAAAATAAGTGTTTATTTTTCTCCTTATAAAATTAATGCCTGCTCCTCACAATTAAAACATTACAGAAAAAGTTCCTACAATCCCCCTCCCAAGAGATTACCACCTTTAATACCTTTATGTATATTCTTTCAGAATATTTTCCTATGTGTATATTAATATATGTTTTTGTTTTATAAAATGAGATCAAGTCAAGTAATTTATACTGTTTTTACTACTTACTTTCCACCTAACAATATATATATATATATTGGACACCTTTCAGGAAAATGTGTATCCATCTATTTCAATTTTTAAGTGTTTTTATAGTATTCCATTGTGTGGATTTAACATGGTGAATTTAACCAATCCCATATGGATAGGCATTTTAGTTGATACTGTTTCCTCCATTGTGAACAATGCTGCAACAACCATTTTTATTCATTTACCTATAAACACTGATGTAAATATTTATGTAGGATAAATTGATGGAAGTATAATTGCTGGGGTAAATGGCATGGTCATTAAATTTTTTTTTAAATATATTTTATTGATTTTTTACAGAGAGGAAGGGAGAGAGATAGAGAGTTAGAAACATCGATGAGAGAGAAACATCGATCAGCTGCCTCCTGCACATCTCCCACTGGGGATGTGCCCGCAACCCAGGTACATGCCCTTGACCGGAATCGAACCTAAGACCCTTCAGTCCGCAGGCCGACGCTCTATCCACTGAGCCAAACCGGTTTCGGCGGTCATTAAAATTTTTAATTTTAATAATTCTTGTCAAATTGTAGTGTAGGAAAGATGAATTTAAAAATACTTGTAGTAGTTAACCAAACAAGAGTTATCTGGTCAATTCACATATCCAGGCTTCAGCGTCATTGTTAAATCTTCTATCTCCTTCATTCCCTACAGTCCTCCTTAACATCAGGACTTGCTGAGTTTTCCTTCAAAATGGCTCTCAAATGTGTTCTTTCTTCTGTACCCATGCACAAGTACTTTCTTAGCTCTCTTAAGTTACCTTATTATATGTTATATACTGTTAGTTGAATGTGTCATGCATGAGTTGCTTATTTTATTGATAGTAAGCTCCTTGAGTGCTGAGAGTCTGTTTTATATTTATTTTTACCATATCTATTCAACAAATAAGAGGTGCTCTATTGATACCTATTGACTTGTAAGAATTTTGTTTAGCTCCCTCCAAATTGGTTAAAACATAACAGTAGAAGTCAAAACACCAGAGCTCACATGCCTGCTCTGTCACTAAATACCTATGTGATTTTGGTCAGTTTGTTTCACTTGTTTGGACCTTAGATTTGTCTTCTGAAATGTGAAAGATTGGCATAGACCAGGATTTCTTAACCTTGGCACTATTGATATTCTGGGCAAATCATTCTTTGTTGTGGGGGGCAGTTCTGTGCATTGTAAGATATTTAGCAGCCTCCCTGGCCTATACCCACTAGATGCCAGTAGCATCTTCCCCAGTTGTGACAACTAAAATGTCTGCAGACATTGCTAAATGTCCCTAGAGGAGGGACAAAATCATTTCCAGTTGAGAATTACCAGAGTAGATCAGTGCTTCTTAACCTTTTATTGGTCATGAATCTCTGTAACCATCTGATGAATTCTACTAACCTTCTTCCCAGAACAATGCACTCATATACTCAAATGATTTTGCATGCCATTTCAGGTCTTTTATGATCCTCAGGTTAAGAAATTACTGGATTATGCGATCTCCAACGTCCATTTTGCCTCTTAATTTTAGAAAAGTTATTTAAGTTCTAAGGAAAAGGAACATTTGTTTTTGATGTTTTGTGTAGTATTTGGGGATGGTTAGTTCAGATAATGACTCACTTTGCGTCTCCGATTCACATCTCTTAGTTTGGTTACATTTTAAGTGTGGGACATGTTAATGAAAATAAAATCAAGGATTAAATGTTCTTCCAGTGCTATTGATGGTTTTTTATGCCCTGTACACTGCAAGTTACACTACACATATTCAACAAGCTATGCAGTCTTATCATAAATTCATCTACATACTTTGGTTTTATTAGAGTTGTAGCAGAGATAATATAGACCCTGGGAACCTCCTGTTAGTGAGCACTGGAAGCATTTTACCATAAATTTGTTCTGGCACATGTATAAAAACAATGCGATGTTTTCCCTAGGATTTATCAAGGTCTGCAGTGGACGCAGTGAATGAGCAGATATTAGTACTTATAACATACACCGGATGTGGAATCTCCTCCGTTTTCCTAGGAGTTGCAATGGTGACATACATAGCTTTTCAGTAAGTTGATACATTCTTGCTCTGAGTAAATTTAATTTGGTTTGATGGATGCTGTTGTCATTTTAACTTGGTTAATTTCATAAAATGTTCTGATTCATCACAATAGTAATAGGTCAGATCCATTAGACTCTGAGGTGGACATGTTAAAAAAGAAAACAACCAAGGCTTATAATTGAATTTTTTTAAAGCAAGAGGGTTGGGATAAGAAAAAGATTTTTCTAACAGGATACAAAAACACTAATCATAAAAGAAAAAAATGATAAATTGGACTTCATTAAAATTAAAACTTCTTTCATCAAAAGACATCATTAAGATAGTGAAAAGGCAAACTGTAGGTTGGGAGAAGATATATATTTGACAAAAGACTTGTATTCAAAATATGTAGAAACTCCTACAAGTCAAAAAGCAAAAGACATACAATACAATTTAAAAATGGGCAAAAGACTTGAGCAGGTACCCCATAAAAGAAGATATCTATGCCTAGCTCTAGTTCTTACCTAAATAGCTAATAAGCATATGACAAGTTTCTCAACATTATTATTCATCAGAGAAATGTTCATTAAAACCACACTTACACTTTGATGCACCCACCAGAATGGCTTACATTTAAAAAGTTGAACATAGTAAGAGCCAACAAGGATATGGAATAATTAGAACTCATACATTGCTGGTGGGAATATAAGAATGGCATAGACACATAGGAAAAGTCTCTGGCAATACCTACTAAAGATAAATATACATCGAGCTACTAGAGAGAATCTCACTATTAGAGAAACGATTGCATATGTCCACAAAAATATATATACAAGAATAGTCAAAGTAGCTTCATTCATAGTGGCCAAAAATGGGAAACCCCAGTGTACATTAATAGGTAACTGGATTAATAAATTCTGGTATATTCATAAGTGAAATGTTTCACAGCAGTAAAAAGAAAAAGAATAAACTACTTTGATTCAATGCAACATAATATCTAATTCTCATTGACATAGAGTTGAGCAAAGAAAGCCAGAAAGAGAAGATGGTTCCATTTATATGAAATTCCAAGTACAGGCGAAACTAAATATATGGGGATAGAAGTTAGAATATTGGTTAACTCTAGTGGGAATATTTAATGAGGGAAAGAATGGAGGAGCCTTCTGAGATGTTTAAAATATTTTACATCCTGATCTGGGTGGCATTTCCTTCGGTATATTCATATGTAAAGATTCATTGAGTTGCATTCTTAAGATTTGTGTACTCTACTATTTACCTCAATTTTAAAAACCACATATACACCAAATGAAAATTGCAAAATTTAAATCAGTAAATACTTAATAGAAATAAAAAAGAATGAAAGGAAAATATATATTTTTCTAATTTGGAAAATACTGGGTCAGTTTTCACAAAGTACAATTGTAATCACTTAGTGAAACTTAAGGTCATATTTCCATGATGGCAAATGTCTGGATCTTTGGAAATCTCCAAGTAACTACTTGAAATGGTTTGCACAGATATCCTGCTATTTGGTTATATTTAGATACAGCCTTGAGTATGATGGAGTGATGATAGAATTGTATATCCAGGATACACCTTCCTTCCTTCTCTGAAACCCCTCCCAAAAAAAGAAAAAGGTGATGCTTAGTTGATAGAGGCTATTATTCCTGTTAGTAAAGGTCACTGTGACTCTACCTGGAGAGAGGGTGGGAAACTCTAAAATTCAGTACATGTGAAGTGATATGAGTACTTTAATTTTAATAAGCAATTTTTCATTCTTTCACTTATTATGCAGATAAGATGTAGCAAGGCTTGATTAAAAACAGAGACCCTGATTTGCTAAATATGTCCTTTTTCTTTTAGCAAACTTCGAAAAGACCATCCTTCCAAAATCCTGATCAATTTGTGTGCCGCACTACTGATGCTAAACCTGGTTTTTCTGTTCAATTCTTGGTCTTCATCATTTCAGACAGAGGGACTTTGTATCACAGCAGCAGTGGCACTTCATTACTTCCTGCTCGTTTCTTTGACATGGATGGGCCTGGAGGCAGTGCACATGTATTTTGCTCTAGTTAAAGTCTTCAACATATACATTCCCAATTATATTCTTAAATTTTGCCTAGTTGGTTGGGGTAAGTATGTTGCCATTGTCCTTGATGTCTCTGTTTTAAGCCTGTGTGTCTTTCTAATTCTGGCTCCATTAGACAAATTATTTGGGACCAAAGTCCGTTATTATCATAGGTAAAGAATTAAGGATTGTCTCACTTGTATTTGGATATATATCTCTTTTTCTGCCTATATTGATCTAGAAATTCAACTTTTAACCTCCATTGTGAGGAATCCGTCTTCAAATATTTAATGAGCATCTGCTTGTGTATATGCTAAATGCTGATCTATGTAGTGAGCTGATTTTATCCTTCCCCTTATGGAAGTTACAATCCCGACAAAATCTTACTGTTATAGCAGCCAGCATTTAGGCAGCACTTACATGTGCCAGAACTGTTCTAAGTGCTTTACATACTCATTTAATCTTTACAAAATCTCTAATCATTACTTCCACTTAATATATTAGGGCACTGAGTCACAAAGGAATTAGACAATTTGCCTAAACTCAACATAGCCATACTAACTGGCAGAACTGGAATTTGAACCAGGGAATCTGTTTCTATAGTTTGGACTTTTAACCTCTGTGATCTAACCATATTGCTTAAGGGACAGGGAAAGGAGTTGCAATGTGTGAAATGGTGCTCAGTCAGACATGCCCTGATTCTCACTACACCTCATGACTGCCACTATCACTGCTTCCGTCTGGAAGAAGCCAGGAATGAAACTCAGCATGAAACTTTCCTAAATTAGATGTCATTTCATTGGATTTCTTGACTGTATTTCTAACTGACAGGGTCAGCTCAGCTCCTTTCCCCCCTCCCCACTTTGCTATTCAAAACAGATTGTGAATTCAGAAAATGTTAGACACATAGGAGATGTATATTAAGTGGAATGCATAGGATACACAGGGAGACAGATTTTATCTTCCACTGCTTTTCTAAAGACAATAGCTTCCCAATTAGCTACTCATCCTTTTAATGAGTTAACATATTACAAGCTTTAATTGGATAAGGTCAGTGCTATTATCTATGCTAATGTGGGGAGTAGAGAAAGGCAATATTAAACAAAGCGTAGTCGAAAAAATTGTTTTAGTGCACTTTGGAATCCATCAGAAACACAGAGCCCAAAACAGTCAATACTCTCCCATTTATGCCTCACATCCTTCATCTCTAGTCAACTGTCAACTGGAAGATTGAATAAATTGTGGAAGAGTCTTCACAAATAATCCAAAGAGCTGAAAATCCACATATGGCTAACTGTGAAGGGGCTGTAAATACTAGTAGCACTGGATCCTGGCCTTCCTTCTCCCTCATCATCATTCATTTTAAACTTCCTCTTCAGACTGTTCCTCCATCAGACCCTTGCTCCTTAAATGTTGGTGTTTCCCAGGGCTGACTTTTCATCTATTTGATATTCTGGTTCTACACCCACTTCCTGGGGTACTGAAGTGTCAGGAAAGGCTAGGCTTGGTACTTTGGAGGCAGGAAAAACTTGGGGAGTGTTAAGTACACACACAAGCCAAGGCAACTTTTATATTCAGTTTATTACTTACATTGGTGGTGAAAAGAAGAATAGCTAAAGGTGTCAGCTCCCCAAGTCTTTGTCTAACACACTATGAAGAATGACAGCAAAACAAAAGGGGAACAGATGGCTGTCACAAGAGTTGTAGGATTCCTTGTTGTTGAGGAGCCAGCTCTAAACTGAAGGTATGCAGTATTTTATTCTGCAGTTCTGTTCTGAGGAGGCAGGGTGCAAAGCCCCACACCTCCTCAGAATTTGGAGGCAATGAGAAACTGTCTCGTAACAGCCTCTGAGAAAAGATAGGGAGGCAAATAGGAGATGATCTTGGAACACCTTCTCATAGGCTTGCTACCTTCTTAAATTCATGGAGGATCATAAAGCATTCTGTCAAAATTCAGATCAGCTGTGGTTCAAGCCTATGCCTATGTGGATACCTGCAAGGTTGCCAGGGAGCCAGTCCAGAGTTGTCCCACTACAGGGAGTTTCAGAGCATTTAACTATTAGATAAATGCAATCAGCTCTAAGGAAAATGAATATTAGGATCTGTTTGTGTTTGAAGTTCTGCCTTTCTAATGCCAAAGCAACCTGTTGAAAATGTCTTATTCCTTTAAGTCTCTGTCCAAGGCAGTAGATTTGTCCACATTTAATAAATAACAATCAGTAGGGATATATATTTTTTAATTATTAAAGTGTAAACAGAGCTTGGGACCACCTCACAACTTCCATCCTAAATGTAAGACTTCCCTCCCTCCTCTTCTTCTGGTCTCCAACAGGTATTTTTTCAAATATCTACATCATGCTAGCCTTTGTGCTAGATGAGAAAAATGTAGATCTGAAGGGATTGTCCTGTTTATCACAGGATAGGACAGTGGTCGGCAAACTCATTAGTCAACAGAGCCAAATATCAACAGTACAACAATTGAAATTTCTTTTGAGAGCCAAATTTTTTAAACTTAAACTATATAGGTAGGTACATTGTTATTAACTTAATTAGGGTACTCCTAAGGCTTAGGAAGAGCCACACTCAAGGGGCCAAAGAGCTGCATTTGGCTCGAGAGCCGCAGTTAGCCGACCATGGGGATAGGACAATGGAGGATTTCTCAAGATGCTTAGCACTCTGGAATTTATAACAGCTTCTTACAAAACTCCTAAACTATGTGCAGGTGTAATAATGCTATTAGTTTAGCAGAAGTACATTGTTAGAAGTAAAGAAATCACTTAAGTTTTGCAAAATGTATATGAAATTGAATTTTTAAACCCTGTGTCTATACTCACATCAAGCTTGACTACTTTGACTGAACTGATTGCTTTATTATAGTCTGGCTGAATTGACTTGTCCTTAACTGGTCGATCTAGTCAAAATGTCAAACTGGTAACGAGTTTAGAAACAGCTCCCCTGTCAGAAAAACACTAAAGGCTGCAACTGATTGCCTGTGCCCTTCATCCAAGGTAACTGAGACAAAAAGATGCCAGGAAATGAGGGGCAGTATTGAACAAAAGAAAAAATTGGCGGCTCATCATCTGAGAAGAAAGGCTTGATGCAAATTTGCATTCCGATGAACTAGATACTTCTATTGCCAAGTTGATTTTTGGTACTTGAGCTATTTTTAATAACCAGTGGGTGTTTTATTGGAGCCACTGGCATGCTGTTTAGTTTAACAGATTGGAGAACTCCTAGAAATGTTTAACTTAGAAGAATTTACAAACATTTTGCAAACAATTGTATTTTGATGCCTGCGCATCTGTGATTCATTTAAACAGTGGCTTAACTTATCAGTGCACAGAGTCATTGATCAGGATCTTCCCCCTGCTTTCTAATGGAATACCTTTGGCTTGCTTCCCCGCACTAGGGATCCCAGCAATCATGGTGGCAATCATACTGAGTGTGAAGAAAGATCTGTATGGAACTCTGAGCACCACATCTCCATTGTAAGTACCAGCATCTCTGCTTCTCAAGTGATGATGCTCTGTATTTTGTATGAATTAGAGAGAAATAGAGAAGAGAGAGAGAGAGAGAGAGAGAGAGAGAGAGAGAGAGAGAGAGAGATTCGTTGTACCACTTATTTATGCATTCATTAGTTGATTCTCACATTTGCACTGGGAATCTAATCTGCAATCTTGGCATATTGGGATGACTGACACTCTAACTGAACTTACCTG